TTAATAGAATAAAAGTTTTTGTTTTTTCCTAAGTGACAGCATTAGTTTTTGGTTCTACCATTCCCAAATTTTTATCAAGGTTTTCTTTTCTAAATTTTTTTAATTAACATTTTTTAACTAGAAGAGTTTTGAAAAGATCAAAAACTCGATTAAATATTGCATTGTTTGCACAAATAGAACTGTTTTTTTGAAAATTGGGATAAATTTTCATAGTTTTAAATAAATGGTAAACATAAATTTTTAGTCAGAAGATCTACAGTCTCAAATTTGTATTAATTTAATGTTAAATTTGTATTAATTTGTATTAATTTTAAATAATGCCATGGTATTATTTAAAACAATATTTTTTCAAAAAGATGTGCATATATTTCTAAATATATATACTGAATTACAAAGTAGCTTAAACCAATACAAAATTTGAGGCTGTAGACCTTCTGAAAAAAGTATGCATACTAAAGAATCTTAATATAATTGCTACAGTCAATGTTCAATGTTCAATGTTCAATATCGTTTCGCTTTCGTTTTTAAAGTAATTTTAATTAGTTACTAGACTTTTCTAAACTTGAAAGATCTATCAAGCGAGTTAAAACCTTTTATCTTTTGAAATGTTAATATTTTTTAGTTTAGAAATAATAAATAAAGAATCATATTAAGATGAATAATCATCATTAAGATATTATTATAATCAAAGTAAGTATAGAAAATAGTTTCGCAATTTGTATATAACATTTTTATTAGATATAAAGTAGAAAGGATCACTCCTAATTTTGAACGGCTAAAATAAATCATCGTTTTATTCACACGTGAAGCAATTACACCTCTGCCATTGTTTGTGTGTGTGTTAATATGTGTTATATAATTGTTTTATAAATGTGTTTAAATATGTTTATATAAGGGTAAATATATATATTGTGTTCATAGTTGGTACATATGTTTACATTATGTTGTTTCCATGTTTTCAAAGAGCTGTGACTCGGTAAACGTGCAGAGCAAGATTTGTCAATCTTAGCAGCCAAGTCAAGTACTTACAGCAGAGGTTTACACGGCAGTGTTTAGTGTAAAACGGTTACTTCTTTAGGTAATGTATTTTAAATTTGATCAAATGACGTATTTATGTGGTATCGAAGAACAAAATATTGTAAAGTTTTGTGAATTTTTTAAAAACGTTTACTAATAATTAGTTTAAAGAAATAATATTGAAGTTTGCAAAAAAGATTTTACAATGTTTGTTTGATTGTTTTTTCTTTTCTGTATTAGCAGTATGTTTATTATTAGAATTACTTGTTAATTTATTTATTTCGATTAATTTTTTTAAGTCTAAACAAAAAAATTTAGAAATTAGTTTTTTGTTTATTCATCTTCTAGCTGATATGTTTATTTTTATAATTCATAACATTATTGTATAATTTATTTTAAATGACAATTTCTTATATTTAAAAATTATTTGTGTTTGTAGAAAAAAAATTATACCGAAAAGATCACAAAGATTCTTTTAAGATTTTTTGTTAATACTTTCAATTAAAAGTGAAGTTTCAGATAATATTAGGCTAGAAGCAGATATTAGTAGAAAAAATGGAAATGTTAATAGACAAATTAATTGTTGCAGAAGTTAAAGAGATAGGCTCAGGTGAGATAAAATTAATAATCTACAAAATGCTAGATATGCTCCTCGGCAAGCAGCAAATACTTTGAACTGAAATGGGGAGAGTGTGGTTAGGCAATTTATAAAAAATCGACGCAGAAGCGAAAGTGATAGGCTTAGGCGAGATAAAATTAATAGTTAACAAAATGCTAAATATGCTGCTAGACATAAAAGAAACATAAAGCGAAAGTGATAGGCTTAGGCGAGATAAAATTAATAGTTAACAAAATGCTAGATATGCTGCTAGACATAAAAGAATGCATTGTATTGCAAGAAGCAATACTATTCCAGATTATCATTATTTAGGAGAAATGAATTATATTCGTCAGCATTGTGATGCCAAGAAATTACTTGATAAAATACATTTTTTATGTTGCCATTATGGAAAAGTAGTTATGTCACAACCTTCACTATTTCTGCAAGATTTATAAGATTTATTTAAAGCAAATTATGTAAATGGAAATGCTAATATGGATTTTTTTAAATATTTGAAACTATAATGTCTGTCTTTCTTTTGCTTCATTTACAGCTAATGTAGTTCAACCCATGAAACATTGGCCGCCATGTTTTAGAATATGCGGTCATGTTTTTCATCATGTAGGTAATCTTAGGCCAGATCAAGATGTTCCGTTAACATATTGTCAACTACATCTATGATCTACTTGCAACAGTAAGTTTTATAATGCGACATCCTGGTAATGATCTTTGCTTAAATGATTTAATGTTTCGATGGCAAACTATTATTAGTGAAGAGAACCCATTTTCTCGTGCATTTAAAAACATGGCTGAAGTCAAAGATAAAGCAGTTCGTCGAGCAGCTATAAAGGGTTGCTTAGTCTCAGTTGTAAAAATGTCTTTACCTGAAGGACAAGATAAACGTCATTATAATCTCCCTTCATATAATGAAGTTGTGTTTGTTGGCGAAGATGGTGCTCCACCTGCTTCCAGGGAAGTTGTTATTTTCCCAAGAGGGCATCCTCTTAAAACTATATCAAGTATGTCTGCCAAATTAGTGCATAGGGTTTGTTCTCCATTTTTTCCACGGGGTGATGCTGGTTGGCATAATCAATTGGTTCACAACCCTGAACGTGCTACATTGATTAGAAATCATGTTACATTATCTTAGTATTACAGTTATAGACTTTTAGTGAAACAATTAACCTAAACAAAATGAGAAGCGAGCAAGCATGTAAACAACATTGGAAATGATCACAGACCAGCACATGTTGTAGTTTTGTCATCAACTTATGTAGGAAGTCTTGAAGCTTTATTTAATTTAATTTGTTTAAATAGTAGTAGTTTTAATTTAAAAATGTTAGTTCTAAGTTTTTTACTTTTCTGCTTTCAGATTTTTAAGCTCCAAGCAACTTAGTAAAGCAATTTTTGTTTTATATTTTAGTGCAATTGGAATGAGCTGAAAGCTATTTTTTAGAGCAATTGAAAATAGGTGAAGTGATTTTAAGTAACTTCAGATGACTTTGTTGATATTTTAATATTATTATTATTTTTATTATTGCTATTATTATTATTATTATTATTATTATTATATATATATATATATATATATATATATATATATATATATATATATATATATATATATATATATATATATATATATATATACATAGGGGAAAGCGGGGCAACATGGCGAATGGGGCAAGATGGGTTTTCATATAACAACTTAACAAAAATTCTTAAAATTGGGTGAAAACAAAACTGTATTTGCATCTTGTATTTTAATACACCAATTGGTTTTTTGAAATATTATTAACGCAATTTTATACGCATAAGTATACTTTTTTCGCTTAAAAAAAATTCCTCACTTTCGGTTTCTCATAATGGATGGTGTCCTTCAAGTTTAATTTCTTTAGAAGTAGTTTTTTGCAATTTGTGTTTATTTTTTGTTACTTTATTTAGAGATATTGGTAGTTTTTAAAATTTTTTAAAATTGGAGGTAAAAATAGCATAATAAGTCATCTTGCCCCGGTCACGTGACCAGATGACAAATTTATGAACTTTTTATTTTAATATTTATTTCAAATTGTTATATTTGCAAACTGAAAATTCATGCAGGCAATGAAGGATTTTAATAACATAAACATACTGAGAAAGTATTATTGCTTCATGACTGATAGTTTTGCAATAACTCAGGGCTTTCAAAACGTTCGCCATGTTGCCCCGCTTTCCCCTATATATATATATATATATATATATATATATATATATATATATATATATATATATATATATATATATATATATATATATATATATATATATATATATATATATATATGTATATATATATATATATATATATATATATATATATATAGGGCAAGTGGGGGCGTAACCGCATAAAGAGGCACAACCGTTTTTTTATCATTTCCCTTGGAAAAATATTGGCAAAAAATGGCAAAAAACATACAACGCGTTAGTAAAACAGTTTCTTTCATTTTGCATATGTCAAAAAGTGTGCTAGTTACGTTTCTGAGAAATTGTGCATAATAATGTTTTTTTTGATAAAAATTTTATATTAACATCATATTTTTCCAGACCTTTTTTTTGAGAATTAACTAATATTTGATTTTAGTGTTGAAAACATGTGTTATCAGCATTATTTCATCAAGTGAAAACCATTTTTGTTATCAGCATAATCTAATAAGCAAGCTATAAAATTGAATTCTTTCTAAAAACTTTCTTCTAGGGCAGAACTCGCTTCTGGAGCAGAACTCAAAATGTAAATACAAAGAATGCCTGCAAATTATGCAAACATGCAAAAAATCATCAAGTTATCTGAGCTGTAAAAATTGTAAAGAAAATGTACCATGAAAGGTGTACCCCCAACGATTTTTGTGAGAGTGCAGTTGTGACTGTCGTGTTATATAAATAAAATCTACATGACCGGGGCTAAAAGAAGACAATATTTGCCTTATCACTACGCCCCGACGTACTTTCATCATCAATCGTGTATAACCATTAAAATGTTAACATGTTTTCAACACATGTTTTCAACACTAAAATCAAATATTAGTTAATTCTCAAAAAAAAGGTCTGGAAAAATATGATGTTAATATAAAATTTTTATCAAAAAAAACTGTTTTACTAACGCGTTGTATGTTTCGTTGCTTATTTACCTATCCACCCTACTTTACTTACCTACTCTCCCAACTATAACGTCATAATCTTACAATCAAAGGTTAAGTTAAAAAATTGTTAAATCATTAAAAAAAATCTTTTTAATAAAAGGTCATTATCTTTTAACTACAAAAACTGTTGAACCAAACCAAAAATTAATTCTTTATAAAAAAAAATTTAATCTTTTTTTTATATTTAATAAAGTTCGTGAGAAAGCGTTTAAAAATCGCGTAATTTACATTTTAGCATTAGTTTCTTACAAAAGGTAGAAGTAATTAGTCCGTAAGAACATTTAAATAAAAGTAAATAATGTTTCAAAATTAACAAATATTATATACTGTAGAAGAGGCAGGAAAAAAAGTGCCGCTTTGTGTAAGTTTTCATATAAACATTAATATTGTTTTTTTGATAATGTTTTATAGGTCGCTTTACAATATGTGCCTAAAAAAGTATATGTTCCTTCTCTTCTCGCGTACATTCCGCGTCAAGTACCAGAAATACCACTATCTGAGGAAGATGAAATAATGTACGCAGAAAGCTAAATGTATTACTAAAAAAGTCATAAGCCCTGATATTATGTGTGGAGTTTCTCGCGGTTCAATCCTAGGTCCATTATTGTTTTTAATATATATTAATGTATGTTAATGTATGCTGACAATACAAATTTATTTTTTAGTCAAACTGATGCAAAGGCTTTGTTTGAAACTATGAATTTTGAACTCGAATATTTTAACCTCTTGTTCATCACAAATAAATTAAATTGTTTTACTCTTTTTCATAAAAAAGAATATCAATAATTCTTCCGTTAAAGCTGACTAAACTGCTTATTAATATAAAAAAAACTAAAGGCAAAAAGTACACAAAAATTGTTGTTTAAATAGTAAAGCACGTAACATGCTTTACTTTAGTCTTGTTCATAATCAGCTTTCGCACGCAAATATTGTATGGTCAGCACCCATAAAATAAAAAAAGTAAAATTGCAAAACCTGCAATTTTAAATTAATGGGAAAACGAAGCACGCAAAGCAACTAATTATATAAATAGGTTAGTCAACCCGGCCCTAGTAATAAAAAGTATGATGGTTCTCGATATCGAAAAACTTAACACATTAAAGATATTAATTTTTATGTATAAGAGTTAGAACAATTTACTACCAAACGTTTTTTGAGCTATTTTCTTGATATCATTTTCTGAAAAATATAATCTGGGTTCAAATACCAGGTACAACTATCACCTTAGAAAAATTAAACCACAGCTGTCAAGTTGTCTAATTACAAACCGTGGTCCATCAATATAGAATAATTTACAAAATAAAAATATTGAAGACCTAAAAAGCATTTCATCGTTTAAACAGAAAACTAAAATGCATCTCCTTAATTCCTGACATATATATTATATATCTCAGAAAATAACCTGATGCAGGAATCAACCAGATGGACCACGGTTTCTAATTAAAAAAACCTGACTGCTGTGATTTAGTTTTTCCTAGGTGATAGTTGTACCTGGTATTTGACCGCAGATTACATATTTCAGAAAATGATATATATATATATATATATATATATATATATATATATATATATATATATATATATATATATATATATATATATCATACTAGATAGATACTTTCGGGGACATGTTATTTTTGTTCCCGTTCTGTTGTTTTATTTTACTTTTTATATACTATTTTTATCATATTTATAAGTTTTTTTTAACTCCTATTTTATATCTATTTTTATTTATACATATTTAAATTTATTATTTTATTATAAAAAAATATTTTTTATATTAGTTTTTGTTATTTTTATTTATTTATTATATATTATATTTCATTTTTAACTTCATCTATTTACAAAGCAATTAATTACAATAATATAGCTAAATTTAAACCTTGCCGTAGTCCTAACCCTAAGCCTAACCTTGATGCCTGGCCAAACCATATATATATATATATATATATATATATATATATATATATATATATATATATATATATTATATATATATATATATATATATATATATATATATATATATATAGTGGTATATATTGAAACAAAATCTAAAAAAGATTTTGTTAAGGCTTTTATGTTTACGATGTTATTTACTTTTTAAATGATTATATTAAAATTGTAATATTGTTAAATATGAATTAAAAGTTATAATAAAATATTATAATCAAGGCGTACTTAAATAACAGGCCTTCTCATCGCGCAACGGCTTGAAAAATGTGGAGGCTGATTTGGTTTTGATGCTCTCAACTATTAAACAATTTTTTTTTTAAGTTTTAAATATTTAAAAATTCTTTTAACAATATAGTAGGAGCTTGTGATTTGATTATTTTAGTCTATTTCTCTAAATGCATAACCTGATTAAATAAAAAACTAAAAATAAGAAGAATGTAAGGCTTAAACCATGCCATTTTTTACTAAATAATATTTTATCATTTTATAAAGAAGTCGATATTTTTATTACAAAAACGTTTATAAAACAAAAATAATTGTTATTTTGTCAAGAAAGTAAAAAAAAAAACAACACCTTGTAAGTTCAAAAATAACAATAACAAAAGATAACCAAGCTACTTCTATGTATTTGCATACAATGAAACATTAACAGAAAGAATTAAAAAGTAAAAATATAAATTAACAATTTTTAAACGAAATATCATCTAAAGTTAAATTGGAAACTTTTTATGGTATATTTATTCACAAAAGCTAACAAAACAGTTTTAAAGCTTTAACTTTGGTTTCCTTGTCTGATGCAGGTGAATGCATATAGCAAAAATTTTTAAATAATATATTTGTAAGAATATAACAATGGTTTCTTGTAATTATGGTGAAACCATAAATACATGCAATATCCATGAATAAGCAGGACATAGAATATCTACAAAAGTTTGATGTGCCAACAAAATTAAACAAAATGTAACTTAAGAATACCCATTCACAAAATGTATCACTGGGTATTTTCAGACCACCACGATCTAAGGCAGATGTAAAATTTCCATAATTACTATAATACAGATAAGTGTCATCGTTATCATCTTCATTGTCTTTTCTAGAAATATAACCTGCAATGTAAACTAAAGATGACTTAATATTCGATGAAAGTTGGTCTAAAAGTTCATGTAAATGATTAAACATCTCACACTCATCTTCTGAAAGTTTATAAAAACAATTATCACAAATATGACCAGATGTAAACTCAGCACTTGAAATGTTGATAGTTTTCTGAAGAAATAGTTTGTTTTTGTTGATATTCCACTTTTCAATTACTTGTTGAGTATTTATAAAATAAGTTCCCCCACTACCTTGTCTGAGTTTTCCAAATGCTCTTTCTATGGGGTCTGTTGTAAAATTCCCAAGCAGTACATACATTTGAGAATTGTCTAACAAATGCTTACTTAGTTCAACTAAACCATTACAAGTTTGATATAATGCATTGCTTGTATCCATGGTTATACTTCTAATTCTTTTTTCTTGAATCAATGTTGGCTTTAACATTTCAGAAAACTCAATTAAATCATTTAATCGTAAATAATCAACATATGATATGGGAGCTCGTAAGTTGTCTTTCAAATGGATTTCTTCGGATGGACTTTTAACGTTGACTATTTTCCAAAATTGAACCACCTTAGTTAAAAAAATAATAGTTCCATCAATATCATCATCTTTCATACCTTGATGACACTTTAATGCATTTATAGTCTCTTCACAAAAAACTTTTAAACATGTATCAACTTTTTGTCTCTCAATTGGCCTTGGGTTAACAGCAACATAAGTCAACTTAGACATTTTAACCAATTCACCTTCTTCTAACTTTTGAAGCTTTTTGATGTGATCCCATTTAGCATTATATTTTTTTCCTCTATAACTAAACTCAATTTCACCAGACTTTTCAGTTATCCAATTGTTTCGTATACACTTTATTAAATGCACAAAATCAAAGAGTAAAAAAATGTCATCAGTTGTTAACCATGGAAATATGCAATCAAATTGTTTGAAAAATGCTTGATTTACTCTATTATTATCATTAATTAAAGCAATAACTTTTCCATTTGCCTTCGTAATTTGGTTGATTAAGATAATAGTTTGATCATATAAAAAATCTGCATCTAAATTATTTACTGGTAACATTTTAACTAAAAATTTTGGTCCTCCATAAAAACATACAACCATGAAAGCCAATACAGTTTTTGCAAGATTTGATTCATCATTTACTGCTTTACCAAACAACTGTCCTCCATGATAAGTTAGCATAGGTTTAACATAAACTTCATCTAATAATAGTATACATTGTTTTTGACCATTGTTGAGTTTTGAAAAAACACTACAAATAAAAGTATTATCATCAAAGTGTGAAACTTTTGAAGTTAAACGTGTAAGGGTAGCAATACTAGGAAGTTGAAAATCATTTCTTAATTGATTGTATAAACTACGTGACTGTGCAAAATACTTCAAAGCTCGAACAATTACTTCAGGCGAATATTTTTGCTTAAGAATATTACTTGAGTTCATGTTACTCATGCATTCAAATTGCTGAATTAAAACTGTTTTCTTTTCTGACTTTTCAAAGGAAATCAAATATCGTAATGCCTCATGTAAGTCATTAAATACTATTAAACAAAATTTATTTTGTTTAATAGTATTTAGTTTTCCAGTATTGTTTTCATGCTCTTTTGATTGAATACAACAGCTATTTAAACAATTATAATAAACAACTGAATCATTAAGTTTTTCTAGAGATAACGAATTACAAAAATTTTCGAATGAATCAATTTTGTAAAGCTCTTCGAATTTTGAAAGTTCATCTTCTTTTATTGATCTTACAGAGCTTTTGGATTTTGTTGTTGTTCTTTTTTCTGGTGGAGGAGTTGGCACTAAACTCTTGGGTATTTGTTCGAATACACTAGGTGGATCTCGAGGTCTTTCTCTTCCTTTTACTTTAATAACTTGGAAGTTTGGTGGAAAATGTTTTGCACAAACTACAGTGTCATGTTTGTCTGGTATATTTTCTCTTGGGATTGCTTTAATCCATCTTAGACGCTCTACTGGATCTCTCGGTAATCTGAAAGTAGTTGTCTTATCTTTTACTGAGTCATAGTTAGAGTTACAACCAGTAACACAACATTTTCTGGGCATTTTTAAGTCTTCTGGTAGGGATACAAGTTATTCGTAGTAACTTTTGCCGCTAACTAAATCAGCCTCCACATTTTTTAAGCCGTTGCGCGATGAGAAGGCCTGTTATTTAAGTACGCCTTGATTATAATACAATTCCGGAAAAAAAATTCTCGCCAGTTTTTATAATTTAATATTTTCATTTTTTTTTTTTTCATTATTTAAAAAATAATAAATTAAAAAAAACATTTTATTTAAACACTTTTTTACAGTTCATTGATAATTTTAAAAAGTATATATATATAATTATGACATTTTATTAAAAAGCTTTTTTCATGATTAATAATATTTTAATTTAATCTTTTATTATTAGATTATAACGTTATGGTTGGGCGGTTAGGTTTGTAAAGTAGGGTAGGCAAGTAAGTAACGAAACACAAAAAAATGAGTATACACAATCATTTTAATAAACTTTAAAAAAAACAAACTGAAAAAGGATATAAAAATTACAAATGGACGCATATTATACAACATTAGATATTTGCCATATATTTTTTAATTATATTTTAATTGTATTTATAAATAACTGCGGTTAAAATAAAACAAATATAAACTCGAATTTTTTCATTCATAAATTTGAAAACTGCGCAAGGTAAAAAATTATTAGTTTATAAATTTATAATGAAGTACTGCCATGAGACACCACTGAACAGGCTTGCAGAAGCGACAGTGAGCTTAAATAATTCTGTAAATCCTAATTTCCTCCGTTGAAACGCAAAATATGCACTATGAAATGAGCCCTCACTTTCAAATTTTTATTGAATTAACGTAGGATCTTTTCAATTACAGTGCAGTCGGTGGTATATCGTACGGTGTATCGCAATGAAAGTTATTTTATCACACATTTATCCACATCATCGTTAGATATTTTTTCTTTTTTGATATAAAAAGTTAGCAAACTTAGTTTTTCCTCAAAAACTCGTTTAATTTCTGGATCTCTTAATCCCAATTCAATGTAATTAGAGTATGTGTCCTGAAGAATTTGCTGCAAGATAAAGTATGAAGCTCTGTCTTCTTGTGTGCGTGTTTCAAAATTCCATTTTTTAGATAATGTCGGTATTGTATGAGCTATTATTTCTTTGGATGGGTCTGTTTCGCGCCCCCGTTTAGCAAGTATTGGATCACCAATAATTACTGCTATCGAATTAAATAATTTTCTAAAAACGTCTGTATCTTTTTTTTCGTCCATGTGGTTATCGTATAGCTTGCTCAAAAGTTTGTGGAATATGTTACTCGAACGAAATTTGTAGTCGTGAATAGAATCACTTTTATTGTTAAGATGGTCTAAGGCATGAACGAATTCGTGTTGGAATGTGATTTCCAAATTACTCTTTGATCCAGTATTAATTATTATATCTTGTTTAACGGTACGATAAATTCCAGCTTTTCTTAAAGACAAATTGAAGTTTTTTGCTAACAACAAAGGATCTACAAATTCGCCACAAACAGCATATCTATTGCTTTCTTTTTTAATTGGCAAATAGTTTATCATTTTCTTCTGTTGAAAATCGCGAAGAACGCATTCAAAATCCTCTCCTTCAGTCCTTTTTGTTTTTTTATTTGAGGAATTAAGCCAAATATTTTGCTGATCAGGCGTTAATTTTTTCAGTTTTTCACAGAATCGACTATATTTTTCTAACAAGCTCAAATCTTCTGTTACTACTCCCCGAAAGCTTTTTAAATTAAGCAACGCTTTGTTTAGAAACGTTGTCAATTTGTTTGGTTTTTTAATCACTTTTTCCAGTTTTTCAATATCCATGACTTTAATTTAATGACTTAGTTTGATTTAAATGATTTTGCTCTAATTGTTCGCTTTTATAGGATTTTTTTATTGAATTTTTTAAAGTTAGTATGTAACTTTTATTATCTTAACATGAGTTTTTTTTATGTTTTAAGGTAGTAATTTTTCATTTTTTGACAGGTTTTTTTCATAAATTTTTGTTACATTTTAAACCGAAAGCAGTTCAAATAATGCGAACACAGTCATATAAAACGTGCGAACGCAGTCATATAAAACGTGGACGGAAGCGAATTTTAAATTTTCTATTCCTCATTTGAAACTCCGAATGTATAGAAATTTCCCGCCTTGCCGCTTGAATCCAAAGCGTTAACAACATTACTAATGCAGCCTAACGGTCGATTAATTAAGTAATATTCTGAAATAATCTTACATGGTTTATAACACGGCCTTACAAGGAATCGAACCCGGATCGCCACGTTAGCGGAAATATTTTCAATCCTATAAGCTATTTGTCTGTGTAACATCAAAATTATTTTTATACTTTAATAGAGAAGACATAACTAGCATAATAATGAAAATAATATAGAACAATAAGATAAAGACACATCAGAATTTGAACAATAAAATAGATTTTTAAGTAATTTTTTTCAATATATATATATATATATATATATATATATATATATATATATATATATAAATAGATTTTTAAGTAATTTTTTTCAATATATATATATATATATATATATATATATATATATATATATATATATATATATATATATATATATATATATATATATATATATATATATATATATATATATATATATATATATATATATATATTGAAAAAATTACTTAAAAATCTATTTTATTGTTCAAATTCTGATGTGTCTTTATCTTATTGTTCTATATTATTTTCATTATTATGCTAGTTATGTCTTCTCTATAAAAGTATAAAAATAATGTTGATATCACACTCAGACAAATAGCTTATAGGATTGAAATTAATACCGCTAGCGTGGCGATCCAGGTTCGATTCCTTGTAAGGCCGTGTTATAAACCATGTAAGATTTTTAAGTAATTTTTTCAATATATATATATATTTATATATATATATATATATATATATATATATATATATATATATATATATATATATATATATATATATATATATATATATATATATATATATATATATATATGTATATATATATATATATATATATATATATATATATATATATATATATATATATATACATACATATATATATATATATATATATATATATATATATATATATATATATATATATATATATATATATATACATATATATATATATATATATATATATATATATATATATATATATATATATGCATATACATATATTGAAAAAATTACTTAAAAATCTATTTTATTGTTCAAATTCTGATGTGTCTTTATCTTATTGTTCTATATTATTTTCATTATTATGCCAGTTATGTCTTCTCTATTAAAGTATAAAAATAATTTTGATGTTACACTCAGACAAATAGCTTATAGAATTGAAAATATTTCCGCTAACGTGGCGATTCCTTGTAAGGCCGTGCTATAAACCATGTAAGATCATTTCAGTATATTACTTAATTAATCGACCGTTAGGCTGCATTAGTAATGTTGTTAACGCTTTGGATTCAAGCGGCAAGGCGGGAAGTTTCTATACATTCGGAGTTTCAAATGAGGAATAGAAAATTTAAAATTCGCTTCCGTCCACGTTTTATATGACAGCACTCTGTGTTTGGATTATTTGAACTGCTTTCGGTTTAAAATGTAACAATAATTTATGAAAAAAACCTGTCAAAAAATGAAAAATTACTACCTTAAAACATAAAAAAAACTCATGTTAAGATAATAAAAGTTACATACTAACTTTAATAAATTCAATAAAAAAGTTCTATAAAAGCGAACAATTAGAGCAAAATCGTTTAAATCGAACTAAGTAATTAAATTAAAGTCATGGATATTGAAAAACTGGAAAAAGTGATTAAAAAACCAAACAAATTGACGTTTCTAAACAAAGCGTTGCTTAATTTAAAAACCTTTCGGGGAGTAGTAACAGAAGATTTGAGCTTGTTAGAAAAATTTAGTCGATTCTGTGAAGAACTGAAAAAATTAACGGCTGACCAGCATATATATATATATATATATATATATATATATATATATATATATATATATATATATATATATATATATATATATATATATATATATATATATATATATATATATATATATATATATATATATATATATATATATATATATTTTGTTTTTAAATACTGTCCATTGTCCAAATTTATACCACCGTACGTTGGAGAACATTGATGTTTTTGTATCTCTAAGGCCTCACGGACTTTTCTTTCAAATTTTTTATTCTCAATATTTAGTGTTATTACTTTATTCCATTTAATGTCCTCATTACAATTTACTTTATGCAAAGCTAATGCAGACTGGTTTAACTTGCCTTTAGTCAAAAATTTTTGGTGTTGTTGAACCCTTGTTCGTATTTGAAGATTTGTTCCACCAACGAATACAACTTTGGAGCAATTGCACTTAATTAAATAGGTTCCTGTGGTGCTGTTGCATGGTAATTTAGACTTATTTTTAGACGTTAATAGCGCTTTAAGGTTAGCATTTGATTTAAACACAGTTCTGTAACCAGCTTTTCTGAATTTTCTTCTAAGTCTGGGAGATATTATTGGTATCCATGGTAAATAGATTGTAGGAAGGTTATTAGAGTTTGATGGAATTTCATTTTTGTTCGCAAAAGGTTTTTTTTCGAACCTGATTAGAAATATCTTTAAGCATTTTTTCATAGTATCCATTTTCAGTAAACACTTGAATTAAAAAATTTATCTCATCTTTTAAATGGTTTTTGCTGCATATTGAGTATGCTCTGTGTATGTATCCTTTGAATATTGCTTTTAAAATTTTAGGATCAAGATTAGAATGAGGTTTGATTTGGATATTGGTTATTGCATCCTTCCTGTAAACCTTGAACTCATATTTTCCTTGGGTATTATTAATAATAGTTATATCCAAAAAGTTAAGTATCTTATTTTTGTTTTCAGCCTCAATAGTATATTTTAAAGAAGGATATTGTCTGTTAAAAATTGTCTGGAACTGTTCCGCTTGATTTAAGTTAGAAAATCTTGCATGGCTATCGTCTACATATCTATGAAAGGATTTAATATCAATTAAAGGAATCATTGTCGTTGCCATTTTTATTGCTTTTTCCTCATGGTTATGTAAAAAAGAATCAGCCAAAGACAATCCAACTGGGCCTAAATTCTCCAACTCATGAATCTCACCATTCCACAAGAAATAACAACGAAACAAACAAAGTTCAATTAGTTGTTTCAGTTAAAGTAAGTTTAGTTGAGTTTTTGTAAGAAACGCTTTTATTTAATTGACCCAAAAGTATTAAAGTTGCTTCTTTTAATGGAATTGATGAGTATAAGTTCACAATGTTAAAGGATACCTGTATTTCATCTTTGTCAATTAACCACGACTTAGTCTTGTTAATAAAGTCTTTTAAATTTTTTAACCTAATAGGATTTTCATTTAAGACCGGTTGTATTCTTTTAACCAAGTAATTTGAAATTCCATAACAAGGTGTGCCAATAGTTGATATAACTACTCTCATCGGATAAGATTTTTCTTGTTTATAAGCTTTAATTAGCCCATACAAACGTGGTGGGACAGGATTACTCGGGCATACGCTTTCATATTTATCATTAGAAAAATGTTGTTTATTGTTTAGTTTTGAAAGGAAAGACTTTATTTTAGCTGCATACCTTAGAGTGGGATCAATACTAATAATTTTTGTTGGACCAATCTGTTCTCTAATTTTTTCAATTGCTTTATTATGTTCTATTCTTACGAATCCTATTCCTTTATCAAATGGATAAATATCAGTTTTCTTGTCTTGAATAATTTCTTTAAATGCTTTTCTTTGATCTCTCTTAGATTATGATTAATTTTTTTGCCCATTTTAAGTTCTCTCAGTACATTTTTCCTTAGGTTTTGCGTTTTTTCAATTTCTTTATTATATTCGAGTTTTAGAGCAGACGATTCAGTTGTTGTAATAATGTCCATGTAAGGTATAGATCTCAAGGAAGGTACAAAGTGTGGACCAAGATTCAGAAGATCGATTTGATTTTAAGGTATCTTGGTATCACAAAGATTTAAAATTACGTTTTTAGTGTATTTCGTTAATTTCTTATTACTTTTGTTGTAATTGAATTCACTTTGAAGTATTTTGAACTTTTTAATTAATCGTTCTTTAGATTTTATAAACATATTTTCACGAGCTTTTTCAGTGATAAATAGCATTTGATTATAGTCTTTGTCTTCAATCTTATTTTTAAGATCTCTCTCAAGGTTTTTAGTAATATTAATAAGATTAAAATATCGTCTTTTAAAATCATTTTTTATACAAACTAAAAGTTCAAATTTAAAATGAAAAATAATACCTTTCCTTGATTTACATGACAATTGATTCGTAAAGATTTTGGAATTAACTTATGTTTCTTGCATTTTTGTAAAAATAGAAATTGATTTTTAGATTTAGCTATCGACTTCTTCAAAACTTGCAAATCTTTGGTTTTGTATAAATTCCAGCTCCGTATTTTGCTGTTATGATTGATTTAAATGTTGACATCTTGTATATATACAATATAATATTATTACAAAAATTGTGACCGTTAAATAACAACAAAAAATTTTTAAATTTTGACGTCACATTTATAATGGCTTCTTTTTTTTTTTTAAAACTTTATTTCTGTTTTTATTTATACATTTTTTAAAATT